AGGGAAAACAAGAGCAAACAGACACTGACTTTGGACCCATGTACTGGAGTTAACAAAGACTTCAAAGCAAGTTCAAGTTAAAGGAAAATAGAGTAACAATGAATCAACAAGTATAGAATCCCAATAGTGAAACAAAAAAAAATTATTTTTTTGTTTTTCTAGTACTGGAAATTGAACTCATAGGTGCTTTACCACTGAGCTACATCCCCAGGCCTTCTTATTTATTTTGAGACAGGGTCTCACTAAGTGGCTGAGGCTGGCCTTGAACTTGAGATTCTTCTGCCTCAGTCTCCCAAGTCACTGGGATTATAGGCACCACCACACCCAGCTAAAAGAAAATTGTTTTTTAAAGTCAACCCAGCAACCCCTCTTCAGGGTACACAAACACTCCTTGATTTATCGTGGGGTGACATCCTGATAAGATCATAATAAGTTGAAAATAGCCCAAGGTGAAATGTATTTAATAAATCCAGCCTAACCTCACCTACCTTAAACACGCCAAAACAGTTTCGTTAGCTGCACTTTGACAAGAGACTCAACAGGCCTGCTTCGTCATGAAGCACTGAGTAGCTCATGGAGTTATGGAACCCTCTACTGATGTGGAAAATGGAATGGAGGTACGAATAGCTCTCACAGCTTCAAAGAGTCAGGGACCATCTGTACCCCAAAAGGAAATGAAATCACTCCTCACGATCATCCCCTGCACCTCACATTTACCACAGCACTTTTAACCATCACCAAAATACAAAGACAATCTAGGCGCCCACCAGTGGACATCAGCTAAGCACTGGCATCAAGCCTTGATCAATTCCTGTTGACTAACAATAGAAATTAACCAACCTGAAGAACAGAGAAAATGTCTGCAGAAAAATAGATCAGAGATCTGTAGGACCAGGGGATGTAAGGACCCATCATGCACATAAGAGGGGTCACTGGAGAGGAAAGGGCAGACCAAGTATTTGCAGAAATAATGGTTGAAAACTTCCCAATTTGAGAAAAAAACATTAACCTATAAATTGAACCAAACTCCAAGTAGGATAAACACAACGGGAAGAACACCTAGATACACCAGCTCAAATGCTGTTCCAGGGGCAGAAGGCCTTGAATGTGCGAGAGAGAGCAGCTCATGCCCAGAGGAGTTTGAGTGACAGCCACAGCACACACTGGACTAGTTACCAGAAACACAGAGGCCAGTGTCAGGGGAATGGCACTAAGTGCCGAAAGGAAAACCAGACCAACCAAGAATCCCAAACCCAGCAAACTGGGCTTCAGAAATGAAGAGGAAATAAAGATACTCCCAGATCAAAAAGGATTTGTTGGTGGCAGACGAGAAATACCAATCAAACTCCTTCTGGCTGAGGAGGAGGGAGTTTGATAGGTGTTTATCAACTCAGAGTCACAGGAGGAAATGAGAGATTTTACAATGTGTGTGTTATCTTTCCTTCTCTTCATTTCCTTAGAACACGTAAACTGGTTTAACAATGCAACTATATTGTTGGGTCAACATATGTAGATATAATGTACACATGTATGAATACATTACATATGTCAGAAAGTAGGGAAGAGGAACTGGGGATATATTAATATATAATATATATATATATAAAATTTATAATAAATTGCTGTATTTTCCAGAATTAAGTCAGTGTTCTAGTCTGTTCTCTGTGACTGTAATGATAGGTGAAAAGAAGTCTATTTAGCTCACAATTTGGGGGGCCAACAGTATGGTGCTGGTGCTGGCTCTGGTAAGCACCCCCTGGCTGACAGTGGATGGCATCATGGTGGGAGCAGGTGCGGGAAGGAGAGATCATGTGGTGAGACAGGAAGGGCCAGTAGTGACCACTCACTAGGCCCCACCTCTTAAAGGGCCCATCACCTCCCGACCTGTCCACACTGAGGACCAAGCTCCGACCATCCCACACTCCAACCGTTTCCGGACCACCGCAGTCAGCATCAGCCTGAACTAGATGGTGGTAAACTGAAGACACAGGCTGTGACCTCCGGAGCAACCACTAAAAAATACTTTTTAAAAATGGCTTAAAATTCAGAAATTAATGGACTGGGATTGTGGCTCAGCGGTAGAGTGCTCACCTAGCACGGGCGGGACCCGGGTTCGATCCTCAGCACCACATAAAAATGAAGGCATTGTGTTGTGTCCATCTACACCTAAAGAATAAATGTTAAAAAAATCATAAATTAAAACCACACACTTTTAAATATTTGCTCAACAAAGAGGTGGACAGAGAAAGGAACAGAAAGACATGAGACACATTATCAATGTAATGCCACTAAATTGTTCATTAAAATGGTTAAGATATCAAATCTTATGTTTCCCCAATTAAAAAAAAAACTTTTTTAATTAAATGCAGACACACTGAGAACTCTAAATCAAAATAGAGAGATTGTCAGGATCTTTTATCCTGACAGGACCTGATCCACACGTGCTGTCCCCCTAGAGTCAAAGACACCAGTAGGAGGGGGGACAATGAGACGCCATGCAGACAGCAACCACAAGTGCCCAGCTGGCTGGATGGCACCAGGTAGACAGACCAGGACCAGGAATGTCACCAGAGGCAAAAAGAGCAGCTCACAATGATGAAGGTGAAAGCTGATCTGCCAGGAGGACAAGGAGATGTGACAACTCGGTGTTCCCTCCCTGCAGTCGAGGGAACAGGAAAAGGACCCTGGGAGGAGCCTGGGGAAACTGAGCCAACTTCCTGGTTTGATGACTGCACCGTGGTTTTGCACCGTGCTGACATCAGGGGAAGCCACCTGAAGAGCACACAGCACTCTCTCCCAGTGTTTAAGTCTATGGTCCAAATAAAGAGCCAGAGTTGGGCAAGGATTCAGGAGATGTGAAGCCAGATGCAGTGGCACCTGTCTGTGATCCCAGTGACTCAGGAGGCTCAAGGGTCCCAGGTTTGAAGCCAGTCTCAGCAACTTAGGGAGACCTTAAGCAACTGTTTCAAAGTAACAAGGGCTGGGAATGCGGACCAGTGGTAGAGCACCCCTAGGTTCAATCCCTGGTACCAAAAAAAAGAGAGAGAGATGTTAGACGTCACTAATTTGTCATTGAGACTTACTCCTTGGCATAGAATCTGAAGAATCACGAATCGATATATTCAGGAAAGATGCTTGAGTGATTTTCTTAGACCATGTTCTCTAGCTATAGGAGAATACTGAGACTGAGACAGATTTATGGGAAAAGGGTTTTTATTTTATTTACTTAATTTGCTTATTTAGAGCTCACCATTCCAGAGGCTGGGAAGTCCAGGAGCATGGCTGAAGTCCAGGCTTTCATACTTCCTCATGACATGATGGAGATGTGGAGGAAGAAGCAAGAGGCTGAGGAAGCCAAACCTGCTTTTGTAATGATTTGCTTCCTAAGAACTCTCACTGCTTCCAGAAAGGCATGCATCCCTGTCAGCCACCCAGTGACCTCATCCATTTCTGTTAGTCAGCTTTCTGTTACTATAATAAAATGCCTGAGATAATCAACAGGTAGAAAAGGTTTATTATGATTCACAGTTTGGGAGGTTCCAGTTCATGATCGGTTGCCCTGTTTTGAACTGTGGCAAGGCAGCACATCACGTGTGTGGTGGAACGAAACTACACATCTTGCCTAGGGAGGAAAAGGAGCGAGGAGGAGGCTGGGCCCCATGATCCCCTTCAAGGACATGCCCCCCCACCCATGACCTAATGACCTCCCCGAGACCCCACCTCTTAAAGGTTTTACCATCTCCCAACATCACACCATCGGGACCAAGTCTTGAACACACGGACCTTGGGGGGACATTCGTGACCCAAACTGCAGCAAACCCTGCCTGCTAACATCACCACAATGACAATCCAATTTCAACATGGGTTTCAGAGGGGTCAAACCACATAGTCAAACAGCAGCAGTGATCACCCAGGACTGTGAATCAGATCGCCTGTTCTTGGGATCTCCAAGGTGACTAGGGAATGGAGGGTTGGTATCTCATACATAGTAACGGGAACCCAAGGGAAGGCTCAAGGCCTGGACTGTTGGGGTTTTTTTCCGTACTCGGGCTTGAACCCAGGGGTGCTCTTACCACTGCTACACCCTCAGCCCCTTTTATTTTTTATTTTGATGCAGGGTCTTGCTGTGTTGTCCAGCCTGGCTCGAACCTGGGTTGCTGGGATTACAGGCGTGTGGCACGGGCCTCCTCTGTGCCCACTCCTGCAGTTAAGTTTTAGCATATTGGAAATTTACACCCCTCCTTCCCTCCTGTGAGATTGATGTAAAGCTCATTTATGTCCACTTCCTACTGAGCCAGATGGACTCAGCCACGAGACTGGCAGAAAATTGACACAGACGTCGTTTGAACAAAGGTTACTGTTCCCAAGGACACCGTAAAAAGAGAGAAATTCACACCCAGAGATGCAAGAAGAGCAGGCAGTCACCTCTCCCTGCATCACCTTGAGCCACCCAGGCCAGAGGGGCCTCCCATTCCAAGGTGCTCCAAGTGGACCTCAGTGTGCAGGGCTGCCGCCGTCAGGCAGCTCTGTTCCATCCCGTGCCTCCTCTCAAATGGAGACACCTGCCAACATTCTCGAGGCTGAGCCATTTCCCAAAGTTGGAGAAAATGCTAGGTGCACACGATGTCGACACTCCATGACCTTCCTCCTCCTCAGCTCCACAACTAACCTGAGAAGACTGACCAAGATCACTGAAGCTTAGACCTTCACAGGCCCAAAAACTGACCACTCGCGGGTGTCACCTGAACCGTGACATGGTCACATGTCATGCAGCAACACTTTAGTCAATGCTGGTCAACAGATACAATGGTGGTCCCCTAGCATTACCCCACTGTAGCCACCTGAGTCTTGGTGAGAACACTGTTATGGTCACAGCACAGAGCTGCCTAACCTCCCGCGTCCTAGCCCTTGTCTCATCCGGGGCACACTGCAGTACTGCCTGTGCTGAGCACAAGTGAATATCAGCTGTTATTTCACCAATAAAACCATGTAGGCAACAGTTTACAAAAATACATTATTTATTGTGTTTCAATGTTGTGGCCTCATGCAGAGACCTAGTCCAATAAACTTAAGTCTTCAAGTTAAATATAAATTAAATGAACACAAAACATTATAAACAGATCAGGAAAACTGCCATAAAGTCCTTCCAACCTACGGATCCCCTGAAAACACTACGGTGGGACATGAAGCTGCCGTAGACTCCGGAAACCGTCACCTGCAGCCACGTGCACGAGTTGAAAGCAGTGACAAGGGAAAGTGACGCAGAATAAAGCCGAGGCGGGTCTCACCATCCCAGTGGGCTGAGCCAGTCGACTGCGATGAGACACTTCACAGAGCCTCACGTCTGGACAGTCATCCCCACAGGCGGCCGCAGGGGAAAACGAGCCCATAGAGGAGCAGGGACAACCCCAGAACACAAACCCCAGCGGATCAGAGATGAGGAAGGTGTCCTCCACTCCTAAAGCGCGTCCAGGGCTCTGGCTCAAACTGACCGCAGACTGTTCCCAAATGGAGCAGAACACGGCTCACACACAGGTCCCAGGGACGGCTGCCGCATGTCAAGATGGAAAGGTGCGCTGCTGACCCCAGGGAGGACACCTATGGCAGCTGATTGCCAGAGCTGGCCCGGCCCACCAAGTTCCTCCTGCCAGCCTGAGACCTCCGTCATCCAGAGGCACGAGGAGCGAGTCCTCCTGACAGCGTCCCTTGTGGGCGCACAGTATAGAAGGCCAGTGGTCCACACGTCTCCACTGCCTTCCTCAGGGGAGACGACAGCTGTGGGAGGGGCCCAGACAGAGGGCAGGGCCCCGCATTCCCCACGCTCCACCACAGCATCTAGAAACTCAGCGCAGTCCCTCCTCTCGAGAGCTGGAGGTCGATCCACGCACAGGCACCACCATATTCCAGAAGGAGCACATGGAGATCCACTCCCACGAGGTCAGTTACGGGACTCTGAGGCCGTGGGGCTGCGGACTGTGGACATGAGGTGTGACTTGTATGTCTTGCTCAAGCCTGTCATCCAGAACTTCAGCAGCTTGACGTTGTCTTCCTCGGAGGCACCAAGGACACTCAGGAGCTTCTGTGTGTCCTCCTTGGGGCGACTGTCCACCTTGGTGAATTTAAAGAGGACCTTAACTTTGCTGCAGAAAACAAAAAGCAGACACTCAGACTCACAGCTCAAGAATCGGTGCTCTGTTCGTGGGGCCTGAACGGCTGCAGGACCAACAAGAACCCTACGGCCCAGCTGGGCTCCCACGCTTGGAGGAGCCAACTTAGCAGGCAGCAGCAGGCACCTGTGCCCTGGGGTCCCAGACCCAGGGAGCAGCGAGGAAGCCAGGCAGTGGTGCGCTCCTGGAGCCACTCAGGAGACCAAGGCAGGAGGACTGCCACAGCCGGGATCTCAAGGCCAGCCTCAGCAGCGTGGCAATCACCAGCCTCGTCGGTGATCCCAGGGGCTTGGGAGGCTGGGGCAAGAGGACTGAGTAAGACCCTGTCTCTAAACAAAATACAATACAGCCCCTGAGTTCAATCTCTGGTAACCCCCCAAAAAGTCAAGGCAAGAGGAAACACAGTAACTTACTTACTTTCTTTCTTTTTTTAAAAGGGGAACAGGCTAGGTAGGGTAGATGTAGCTTAGTGGCAGAGCACCTGCCTAGCATGTAGGAGGCCCCAAGTTTCATCCCCAGCACTGCAAAAACACACACACACACACACACACACACACCTGACTGTCAGATTTTAAGAATTAAGTAGCAGAATAAGAGAACTTCAGTTATGAGTCTCTTCTGCATACTCGGCATCCCTCCTTAGGTCTCAACAGCTCTTGGGAGACAGGAGCCACCCCACTCCTACCTCACAGAGAAGTGGGCCCGGGGCAGGAGACACTGGGGCACTGCCTGCAAGGCCGCGGAGCTTGAGAGAGGCAGGGCTGAGTCTGGACGCTGCACTACCCTCTACTCTAGGCGGCTCCTCAGCGGCCACAGCCTGGCCTCCTTTTGGAAACAGCACCTACTTTTCCTCAGCAGAGTTCACCGCCCCCCCCACCCCCCGCCCGTGGTCAGGAGCCTTGAGGGCGATCGTGGCCACGGCCAGCGCTTACTTCATCCATTCCTCCTTGAGGCAGACGAGGCACTGGTCCACCACGTCCACAGAAAGGTTCTGGTTGGTCAGAGCTGCTTCAATCTTGTTCAGGATGGTGGGGCCGACTGTGGGCGGGGCACAGAGGGCATCAGCACTGCCATGAGAGGCAGGCTGCAGCCACCCCCGACGGAAGCAGCCCAGCAGCAGCACCCACCTCGGTCGGCAGCCACGGGGCTCCCACTGGTCACCACGAACTCGTACTTGCTGAGGGACTGGTCGTCCTCACACCCTACTGGGTGGAGCATGGAACGCGTGGCTGTGTGCACCTCCACGATGACCACGAACTCTGTGGCAATGCAAAACACACTTCCTGGGAAGCGCTGCAGTCTCTCCCTGGCAGGCCCACCCCTCCCGCCACTCCACATCAGCTCCACCCCAATGCAGGGCCAGGAGGAGAGTGCAGGCCAATAAAACCTCTTGTGAACAGAGTTAAGGTCAACTTCTGCCTTGTTTAAACTGATTATCGTTTTTACATTACATAATCATAAATTGCACTCATTGATTCACTTCATCCTGAGGAGTTCTATGAGGTGGCTCCAGTATTACTCCACTGCAAGGGAAACTGAATCAGAGGTTCAGACACTGGCCCAAGGTCACAGTTAATGGTTGTGGAGAATTTCAAGCTCATATCTGAAGGTGACTCCTGTACTGCCCCCTGGGACCTCAGGACTCGGGTTGGCTTGGGGCTATGGAGCAAATGCCAGGCATCCTCCATTCAGCCTGGGAGTACAGTAACTGCCTCTCAGACATGCTGAGAAGTCCCTGACTTGTCCACAAGGCCAAGATCTGCCCCAAGCTGACTCCTGCACATCCCCCAGCCAAGGACAAACAGTTTCCTGGCTCTCTGCTCATCAATGAGGGTGGGGAAACCAGGGAGCCCAGGTGCACTATGAAGGGCACAAAGGACTTCAGCAGGGGGGACACCACTGGCGAGGACAAGGAAGCATGGTGACAGAGAGGCAAGATTGAGCCCCCAGAAGGTCCCAGGATCCCGTGGGCACCAACTCTTCAGGATGACTACCCTGGATTCCTGGCTCTGCCGTCCTGGGTAGACACCAACCCTCCACCCCCAGGCCTGGGACCTGCTTCCAATGAGAACCATAACCTAGGAGAGCCGCCCCACCACTAGTCATCAGGCCCACCTTCAATCACTTTAAAGACAGAAAACAGAAGTTCATGGTCACTGGGAAAGCTGGTCTTACATATGGGTCCTCCTGCCTCTGAAGAAAGTAGGGGATATCCTCAAACACGTGTCTGAGATTCAGTTGTACCTCTAGACTGAGGTATGGGAGCAGCTGGGGGAAGGGCATACCCCCAGGTGGCCCCTGTACCTGAAGCCAGCACATGGGCAGGGATCTGGACATGTGGGCTGAGCCCCAGGAAGTTGCACCGGTAGGCTTCCTCGTATTGGCTGCTGTACGGGATGATGCGGACACAGCCCACGGGCAGCATGGTCTGTGGAGACAGCGTGACTCAGAACCCACAAGCCCAGAGTCCCCTTTGCCCTCCTGTCTTCACTATCCAAACCCCACAGGCCCTCTACAGCCAAAGCTCCACTCCCCAGAGTGTCCCTGAGGCCCTCAGGCCACAGGGTATCTCCCAAAGGCTCCTAACCCCTATCCTGGCCATCGCCACACTCTGACTTACGCAGCTCCTTGCTCTGTGGTGTGAATGCCTAGGACACTGTACTTTCTGGGGTGTGTGTCTCTCCCCACTCCTTTTTGAGACAGGGTCATATTCACTTCTGCACCCACAGCTCAGGTGGTCAGTAGGCATGCACACTGTCCAAGGATGCACCTGTGTGCACACCCAACCTGCTCAGCTCGTGAACACCTCTGCAGAGGTGGCATGGTGGCAGCACGGTGCTAACCCCCATTGCTTCTCCGAGGGGTCAGGGGTTGGGAGAGGTAGAGGAGATAACTATCACTCTGTCAGGATAGCCCAGACTCCTTCCACTGGAAATAAAAATGTCAATACCTGCCATCTTTAATAGTAAACAGAAAGCACTGGTCTTAGATTGAAGTATGAACAATTCCCAAGGCTTTACGCTGAGCAACGTTTATGGTGATGGTGACACCTGAAGTCACACCCAAGGCCAATACACCCATCATGTAAAAGAAAAAAAGATGTTCTTACCCGAAGTACTTCGAACGCTGACTGGACCAAGTCCACGTCTCTGCTTTTCCAGATCACCTGGTTCCCCATGAGGACGTGCCAGGCCAACATGCGGAAATAGGGGGCACCCAGGACCTGAAACACATCATGCAGTGCTCTCCCCACATGAACAGAAGGAACTTCTCTCTCCTTCTGATGAGAATTACTTTCTTCATTTGTTTACAAACTTTCTCTGTATAGCAAAAGAGGATGTGGGGGAGGGGAGAGACAGCCACTTCCCTTCTCAAGGAGGCTGGGTGACCTAAGGGATGAGGGATGGGGAAGTCCCACATTTGCACCTAAAAGCAAGATTCCAAAGCTCTTGCCCCTTAAGATATTTCTCTCAATTTTATTTTTAAACATTTGAAGCAAAAAGGTATGAACTTTTTACAACAGTTTCCTTCCCTCTATAAGCATACTTTGCTGAGCCACTTGGAAATAGGTCACAAGCACCACAACACATCGGCACCCAGGAAGACCCAGGGCTTCACCTCCACAAGCCAGATCACACTACAACCAGGAGCACCCAATGGTCAGCCACCACATGAGATCAGCCTCCTAACCATATTCTTTTTTTTTTTTTTTTTAATATTTATTTAGTTGTAGATGAACACACAGTATCTTTATTTATTTTTATGAGGTGCCGAGGATAGAACCCAGTGCCTCACATAGGCGAGACAAGCACTTTACCCTGAGCTACAGCCTCTGTCTGACCATATTCTTTACAGCTGCGATTCTTTTCATCTAGACGCCAACAGAGGATCAAGATTGCTTTTGGTTGTCCTGTCTTTATTTTTTAATCCAAAACAACCCCTCTCCCACCCCACTTTTATCAACTCCCATAATACGGACATTTTAGAGGAGATCAATTGTCTTATGGCTTCTGAGAAGACAAACACGACTTTGAAACAAAAAACAAAATAAAACAAAACAAAAAAAGCGTCTATGACACCACACTTTACCAACCCCTGTAGCCTCGAGTACTCCCACCTCCAGTGGGATCCAAGATTCCTTCCCTTATCCAAGTAAACAATCAACTCCTGCCAAACACAGGGTGGGGGTGGGGGAAAGAGACAGATGGGCATTTTTTAAACAGAAGCCCCAGGGGGCATCTGCCATTAAACCACTCTTTTTATTCCATTTTCCAAAACAGAAAGATTTCTCTTCTGATAAGATCAATGATCATTATAAAAATACAGAAAAACATAAAAAGGTGACAACCTACCCTCCTCACTAAACAATATTCTCCTCCCATCTGACCCAATTTAAGAGTTAATCTAGTATGTCACTGTTTTGTCTTAAGCGTGACATACAAGTTGCCTTCTGGACTTCACAACATGCTATTATTTGGACACACCATAAGTATCATAGCTGTATATTTATGTTAGTTCCAATTTTTTTCTAAGAATGACCATCATTTTCAAGCTACAAAGAGTCTAGGCTTCATGTAAACCAATAATCGTGCTAGTCATTTCTTTACAAGATTCTAGAATGACAAGATCAGAGAACCACAGGGAGCCAACCACCCGGAAAGGTGAGCACTGGTCCTGTGGCTAGTACATCCCAATGCCCACTGGGCCCTCAGTCACCCACCAAGAAGGCTCCTGGTCACCCCTGCTGAGCAGGAAAGCCAGGCCCAGAGGACAGAGTGTGCTGGACAGACAAGGCTGGGCTCTTCTCCTGAGTTTCCGACTGGAGCTCGAACATCTGCTGCTTACCTGTCTCATGTGCCGAAGAGACTTGAACACTGACAGCTTTCGGGACTGCCAGTTCCCGCAGTCTGAGAGTGAGGAGGCACCGGTGGGGCACTTGGCTAGCTCCCGGCCCTCGGTGCCCTCTGGCAGCACAGGGCCTTTCTCCTCCTCCTCGGCCCCAGAGTTGTCCCAGCCTTCCGACTCCTCTTCTAAGTCTGCACGACAGACGGCAAGGACACTCATGAGACACACTGCCTCGCTCTGTGACCACTGCAGTCCAAGCGTCTCCTGGCCACTCCACCAGCCGTCGTATGGCTACTGGACGGGAGGGCAGGAAGGACTCGGCCACAGCCCACCTGGCCCAGGGTCACACCGAGTTTCAGAAGCACTTACTGAAAGGCCCTGAGCTGCTCCCCACTGGTAGGAAAAATGCAACCAATGATGGAAGCGCTGAGGGCTGGTCCCTGAGCAGACCCTCCGCCAGCTCCGCACATTATGCTCAGTCTTCCCAACCACTCCCATCCCTGCCTCACAGATATGACAGAAATGGCCTTTCAGCCAATCTGCACGGAGCCCGCACAATCACATCTATGGGTCGATCACAGTGAGACTCAAAGGGAAGAGTGCACAGGAGGAGCAGAACCAGGATTTGAAGCCAGGGCTGACTCCTAAGTGTGCCCAGTTCCTGTGTGACCCTAACCATGACACAGAGCCCTGCATGGCTGTCAGGCTCTCCTAAGAGATTCAGTAGACCTGTTTTCTCTGTGCCTTCTGGTATGCACCAGCCTGCGAGTCTTTGATCCACAGCAGTAACAAACAGTTCTAGGACCAAGTGATCTACGGGGCTGTAAAGGCCACACTGCGAGGTTCCATCTTTTCTGAGCCTCTTCTGCTCTCGTGGAGACCTAACTCCTGAACCTTTCCACTTGGGAGAGTTATCGTGCAGGTCCAGTGCGTGACTACTGGGGAAACCTCCCAAGAGCTCCAGCAATTCACAAAGCGAAGCATCAACAGTAACAAACCACGTGCGACACACATCACAGTCCACTCTCCTGCCCATGGCTGTGAGAATGGTGGACCCAGACCACCAGAAATCAAACCAGTCCTGACAGGAAACTCAGCCAGGATCCAGACCTGTGATCCCAAGCTGGGGCACACACGGGTCCCCAGGAAGTCAGATACACAGGACCCTGAGCCCCACACGTGGAGGGTCCAATCATTAACCTGGGGAAGGCCAGGCACCTGGGAGGCTGGGGAAACATGGGTCCAACTGGAACAACACTTGGTTCTGAGCAGGGAATGAGACACTGTCTACCAGGCCAAGGACCTGGCTGTCATAAACAGCGGGAGGAGAGCAGCTAGTCAGTAGCTCTCTACAGGCAGCCCTCCCTGTGGACTTTTAACCTGCCTGGGAAACAGAGTCTTTCAAGACACCATCAAGGAAAAGGCGACAGAAAATCACAACCAAAACACCAAGATCAACATCTGGCCTCCTCAGAGCCAGGCCTCCTTTCACCAGCTCCTCCCACCAGACGGCCAGGAGCCAGCGGCCCCCACAGCCACCATCAGCAACGGGCCCACGCAGCAGCACCCAGCCTCACCAGCACCCAGCCTCACCAGCAAGCTTCTCCATCTGAACCAAGGTGTCCTCTGTTGGTGCACCCTCCAGGAGCTTCTCAGTCAGCCGGCTGCCACATGCTTTCAGGAGCCTGGAGAACACAGCGCCAGCTATGATGTACTCTTGTTGAAGGAAACACTGGGACCAAAGTTCATTGAGCCCCTTGATCCAACTACCTGTTCACAGAAAATATGGGACTAAAAGAAAGGCTAGCCTGGTGTGGTGGTTCACGCTATAGGCCCACACTCGAGACTCGGTGGAGGGTCACTTGAGCCCAGGACTGGAGTCTAGCCTGGGCAACAAAGGGAGACCCCTGGGTCCAAAAAAATGAGAAAAATCCTGCTGGACGCTACTGCAAGGACATGCCAGACCCTGTCCAGGATGCAGGCTATGCTCCTGGACACGACCGGCTGAGGTCCAAAGGGCATGGGAGCCAGGTGTCATGGGCGCCTAGGATCCCAGCAGCTTGGGAGGCTGAGGCAGGAGGATCGCAAGCCCAAAGCTAGCTTCAGCAACTTAGTGAGGACTAAGCAACTGAGACCTGTCTCTAGATAAAATATTCAAAAAAAAAAGGTGGGGGCTGGAGATGTGGCTCAGTGGTCATGCGTCCCTGGGTTCAATCCCTGGTACAAAAGAAAATTTTTTCCAGGCCAACCTCAACACCTTACCTAGACCCTGTCTCAAAATAAAGAGCCGGATAGAGCTCAGTGGTAGAGTGAGATTCAATCCCCACTACCTCAAATATAATTAATCAATTAAGGGCATGGGGAAAATGGGGGTGGGTACTGGTCAGAGGAACCCTTTGTTTAGATCCTGACTCAAAAGTCACCTCTGAGACACAAGGGAACACTGAACCTGGGTGATACACTGGATGATACCAAGAAACGAGTCAATGTTGTTGGACAGGGTATTGGTATTGTGGTTATATTTATAGTTGAAATGACATAACTTTTTTTGGTTTAAAAGATAATATGAGGGCTGGGGACATAGCTCAGTGGGTAAAGTGCTTGCCTCACATGCACAAGGGCCTGGGTTCAATCCCCAGCACCACCAAAAAAAAAAAAAAAAAAAGACAATATAAAAAAAAAAAAAATGAGGGGAGAGAAGGAAATGCTGATGACTGTCAAAGTCAATAGCCAAGGGGGCAGGTTCACTGCATTATTTCTTTTACTTTGCATCTGTATAAAATCTCTTTAATAAAAACTGATTTTTTAAAATATAAGAGGAAGCTAAAAGAATAGAGTCTAAGTGTTTGCACCACAAACAAAAAGGAAATACATGTCTCAAGTGTGATTTAGCCATCATACGACAGAGATTTATCACTTAACAACAGGGCAGTGTGCATCGCTCGGTGATCTCATCCTTATATGAACACCATAAAGTGTGCCTGTGCAAACTGAGACAGCTATGATGTCATCAGGCGACAATCTACAGGAGCACTATTTTATGTCCACTACTGACTGAAATGTCTTTATGTGACACATGACCCTATATCAAAACACAATGTAGGCCATAAATATATTAATTTTCACTTGCCAATTTTTTTCTTAAATACAAGAAGGACTGTATGTCAGGTGGGTGGACAGATACTTTTCCCCTTTAGTTTACAGGACCTTGGAAGCCGCACCCCAGAAGCCTTATCCACACCAGCACAAATTTACACAAGGATCCTTGATTCAGAGCTTCAAACTGACCCTGAACAGAAATAAGTACTGATGGGGTGTCTTTACAAGGAGTGAGTATATTCTGCAGTGGAAGGAACAGATACAACCTGTGGCCAGGGAACAGTCTGGTTCCACAAAACTATATGTCTACAAAACTCACTGACACGCCTCCATTCGAGAGCTAGACGTTAATCCCTCACCTTGCCTGGTCTGGGTTTAATGACAGGGCATACTTCTAACAGTGCCAGAAGGGGCAGTGTGTACCCGCCAAGCCCAGGCATACCCCACCATCCCGTTCCAGTCACTCTGGGGATGCCAGCGGCATATCCACATGGAGAGAATCCGAGGCCCCCTTCCCAGAGCCAGCACGCACTCACTGCCCCTTCAGGGACACTTTGGAAGTGGCCCCTCAGCTGACTGCAGCTCCAGCCAAGACGACCTGGGCCAGAAGCACCCAGCTAAGTTACTTCTAACTACTACTTTTTTTTAAAAATAAATATTTTTAGTTGTAGCCAGACACAATACCTTTGTTTATTTAGTTTTATGTAGTGCTTGGATGGAACCCAGGGCCTCACATGCTAGGCAAGTGCTCTACCACTGAGCCACAACCCCAGCAACTCCTAACTTCTTAACCCACAGGAGCTACGTAAGATAAAAGTTGCTTTAGGTTTTTGTTTTTACTCTTTGGTACTGAGGATTGAACCCAGGGGCTTTTACCACTGAACTACACCCCCAGTCTTTTATTTTGAGACAGGATCTGGCTAAATTGCTTAGGGCCTTGCTAAGTTGCCGAGGCTGGTCTAGTACCTGTGTCCTCCTGCCTCAGCCTCCTGAGTTGCTGGGATTGCAGGCATACACTTTTTTTTAAAGGGAGGGGATCACTAACTTTTTTATAGAAATATTTCTTTGTATTATTGGAAAGTGAGGTCCACCTAAATGTGTTTTCCACACACTAGTGGGGAGATGCCCAGAGAACAAGGGTTCCACAGTCCTACGCACACAGGACCCAACTCTACCTGAAGGCTGCTGTGCAACCCAGCCAGGATCACTCTCCCCAACCACAGATCATCTAAACATGGTAACTTCTCCTATTCTAAGAGCTGCCAAAACCCCTCGACTCTACATTACCAGGCAAAGGACGTGTGAAGACAGGCCCACAGGTTGTCATCGCTGGTCAAGGAAGTCAGCGAGCGGGCAGCATTGCCGTTCCGCTGATGCAGGAAGGGTGTAAATGCTGTGTTCATCCTCTGGGCTCGCTGCGGGCATCCAAACTGCTCCGCCTCAAACACCTGGGATGTGAAGGGACAGGGCAGCCTCTTTCATAACCAGTCAACAGCCAGAACCTGCTCATTCGCAACAGCCACCACAGGTGTTCCCCCCAGACTGTCCCACTCTGCTCTCCTGACACGGAGCCTAGGATACGTCAGCAGCCTGACATTCTGACACAGAATGGCTGCACCTCTAGAGGACAGGGGCCGGCACAGAATTCCTCCATCCTTTCTCCACTGGCTCCCGGGGGTACGTGATAGGACGAAGGCATAGTCTCTGATGTGTTGGGGAGAGGAGGCAGAGACAACAGGGAGGAAGCCAGAACCAAGGAGACGCAGGACAGCAGAGTAGGAGGGGCCAGAAAAGCAGGTGGGAGGGCCAGGAGGTACACACATGCCCGACTCAGAAGCCAAGAGACCACACTTGGGTATGCAGTGGAGCAGGCCAAGGGGCCTGCCTGGGCTCTCAGCGACCACAGCAGCGCAAAAAGACTCCAGCAGTGCCATCCCCTCCCCTTCCCTCTCAGACACACCTTGAGAGCCTTGCCCTGGAGCTCATCAATGATCCCACGGATCTTCCCCAGCAGGAAGGGCCAGGAGTTGATGAGGTAAATCCGGTCCATCATGATGGCGATGATGCTGTACCAGCGCTGGAAGCCCCTGGCCAGGCTGTCCTTAATGAAGAAGGTGTGGCTGAACACAAAACCATGCTGCTCGTCCCCAAAGAAAATGGGACCTTCTCGGCCAGGGCATACCTGGAAGAAACCACAGCAACTGGAGGGATGTCCCCTCCTTGCTCTAGGAACACCAGGTCAAAGCCGCCTCCTCAGATCTCTGCTTTTGTTCTGGTTTGTTTTCTGGTGCTACAGGTCGAACCCAGGCTGCCCACGTGCTAGACAAGTGCATTAAGCTACGCCCCCAGCCCCTCCTTAGACCTTTCTTTTGGCATAAGTTAGCCAGTAACAGCAAAGCGGGAGCAGACAGAGAATGGAAAGCCCAGCAGTCACCTACTCTTGTGTGCAAACTTACTTTTTCTTTTTTGGTGTGGGGGACTAAGCACATGCTCTATCACTGAGCCACACCCCAGGTCCCACAAACTTTCTGGAGGTAACACTGGTGACCATGGAGTGCCAAGGTGCCTAGGTTCATTACTGTTTTCCCCTTGAAATATGTAACTCCTGTACCAATATTCCTTCTACCCCTGCCACTGCTCATCAGGAGTAGACTGAAGAGTTGGCAGGTCAAAACTGCAGTCCATACAGTTAAATCTGCACCCTCAATTCTCCGAGTCCTCCAGTCCCTTCTGCATGACACACTTATTCTTACTTTACATATAATTCAAGCACACGACCTGTCTGCCTACTGACCGATGTGCAGCATGGAATTAAAAGAGGGGAACAGCTGCAGGCAGGTATACAAGAACAGTGAGAATCAACAGGGCTCAGAGGGTCTGACGGAGTGGACACAGCACCAGGAAAGGTTAGTATCTGGATCATGAGTTCTTTGTGACAGATAAAAACATAGAAGCTAAGACTCAAGCTAGACAGCAGGAGCCATACTTAGGACCCAAGAGGAGGTTTTAAGTAGCACTGGATGATCCCTGAAATGTAGAGTGTTAACTGAGATGGTAAAAAACGGTGACATCTGATACAGTGAAGTATAGGTCCTAGAAATCATTTGTATCTTAGGAATATGTCCCAATATGATTTTAGACCTTAAAGTAAAAAGCCAGCACACCCATTTAGAAACTGGAGTCCAAGGGGCTCAATGTAGCTCAGTGTTAAAGCACAGGCATGCATGAGGGCCTGGGTTCCAACCCCAGAATGGTGGGGTGGGGCTGGAGAGTCCACCAGGACATATTCTGGGTGTTCCAGGCAACCAACGTAGCTATACTTTCTATCAGCACAGAAAAGCAAAGAACACCACCTTCCATCTCCCAATCCCAAACTGGCAGTGATCCCATGTAGGTGTGAGTTTCTCCACAACCCCACGTCTGCTCGGAGCTTACCTCACAGCTCAGGCTCCGCACACAGGCCTGGCGGACAATGCTGAAGAGCTGGGGGTGGTTTGGGTGTTGGTGACTAACGTACTTAATGGAGGTCTCTTTATCATGGCTGATATAGCCTGGGTGCCCAACAGCAAGTGACCGGCAACCCTATCCAAAAAAAGAAAAAAAAAAACCTGTTAGAAGTGGGCAACAAACTGTCTTATTCATACGTAGATTTAGAAAGCATGATCTATTTTTGTAGAAAGATAACTGGCTCCAGCCAGGCATGGTGGAACACACCTGTAATCACAGCTACTCAGGAGGCTGAGGCAGGAGGATGGTGAGTTCAAGATCAGCCTCAGCCCTGTCTCAAAATAAAATAAATAAATAAATAAATAAAGGGGGGGGTGTGGTAGAATGCCCCTGGGTTCAATCCCCAATACAATACATACATGCATAAAATAACCAGTTCCTAGATCTATTCTTATCTGAACATTTAAAAGTATTCTGAGGAGGAAGGCCTGGATCCAGGGCTCCACGGGTTGCCAGGGGCTAGTAATAATGTATTTACTGATTATTCATGGAGCAGTTACTATGAAAAGAGCTTTGTATGCTTTATCTCATCCACAGAGCAACCCCATGAGGTGATTATAGTAAGAAGCCCCATTTTAAAGAAAAAAAAACTGAGGCTGAGATGCAAAGAAGCTGCTCCAAAGGTCCAGAGCCAGGGGTTTGAGCACTTGCGTAGCATGTGTGATGCCCAGCACCATGAGAAAAAAAAGAAACAAAGATACCAAGGGTCTGGAGCTATACCACTTTCTCAGGTGTTGCCACCAGTCCCTCTACCAGGCTTTTGTCCTTGGTCCTGAACAAATACTTGTCAGGGGCCTCAGCCACAGGCAAGGGGCCCAAAAGTGACGGGGCAGAGGCAGGACTTCAGAGTTAATGCAGCAGCTTGAAAAAATACCATTCAGATCACCTGCTGCAGGGAGTGGTTCTGAGGCTATGCACCCCAGCCCTGTGCACATGAGGACTCTGAGGCAAGCCCTTCTCAGAGATTCAGGGCTCCAAGGCCACAGTAACCAATGCTCAAGGTCTCTCCAATGACCTGGCAACCATCCGACACTCCTCTCAGAAGGTTCTCCCTAGTCTGCTCCCTTTTGGGTCCCTCACAGGTGTTTCCAGAAATTCCAGATCATCTGCTTCTCAGGAGAATCAAACAGGCTGGATCCCTGTTCCCACTGTAGTGCAGGTCCAACCCCCACCTAATTTCAGGGCTGGCCCAGCTCCTCCCATGTGGCCCATTGAGAGAACTTCAACTTCACTCCAGAGCTCATACAGTGACACAGTAAGGAGTGCCAGGAACCTGAGAGCGGGAAACCCCCACGGCTGCTGGGCTGAGGAGATCCAGACCTAGCACAAACCTAGCTGCAGTGTATGAACACAAAGGCAAAGGCTAAGCTGGGGGACAACTGCCTGCTGACAGTGTGGGTTAAAAAGCCAAAGCTGGTATGAAGGGAAAGAGCCTAGGGCCTCAGAGTGTTCATGCATCAGAGAGGTGATGAGAACACCCCTGAGGCTGGGCTGTCCCCTCCAGGCCTCACCGGTGCTCTCCAGATTCTGGGTCTCCTTTCCTTCCCGTACCTCCCTCCCATCTCCAGCAGAGAGCAAAACATCCCCTCAAAGACACTTGCCTCACACATGTCTGACTTTTTGGGCCCTGGGCTGCTGGACTCCGCGCTGGCCCCCTCAGCTGGGCTGTGGGCACGGACCCGGCTGCTCATCTGGATGCCGCCCTCTTCCTCCTCAGCTTGTTCCCCTTGGCCTGGGCTGTCCCCATTCGCAGCCCCCTGGGGTAGAGGGGCGTGTAGAACTTCCGTGCAAAACAGAGTGCGGGGGCCATGGAGCTCACAGAAGTGACAGAGGGCAACGATGGCATTCATGGTGCCTTAGAGATCAGCAGAAGCCTGTGGGAGCAGAGACACTGTCAGGTGGTTTCACCTGTTCATATCACAACCTCCCCAGTGCGTCCGGAACACCAGGACCACAAGGACAGAATTTCCACACAGCACAAGCAAGTCACCACCCAGCTGGCACGGGCTGAGCACCTGCTCTGTGCCACGCTGCTTCAGGAACAGAAGACAAGAGCACGACAGACAGACAGGGTCCCACCCTGGGGAGCTACGTCAAAGGAGGAAACCATGAGTAAACACTTGCACAGGAAAAACACATACTCCGGAGTGACATACAATGCAGCAACACCTGTGAAGTCACACCACTGGCGCGACACAAAGAAAGCACCCCAGGAACCCGGGGACAAGCTCTTGATCCAGCAGGCCAGGCAAGAGATGGGGGCTGTGAGACTGCCCCTGGGAAGCGCATGTCCAAGGGGGACACAGGGAACACTACTCACTCCCACACACACAAGGCTACAGAGGACACAGTGCAACCCCTAAATGTAGCAGGGTGCAGGGAGGGGCTAGCGCCACAAGGCACCAGGGAGAGATGGGGGGGCAGTGCCTGAGGGCTGAGCGACTCTGGAGAAGAGCAAGAGCTGAGGGCCAAGGCTACAGGAAGCAGACTTCAGGCTTCTAGGCCTCGAGGCCCTAGAAATAGGCCCCAGGATGTATTTTCAGACTGGAAGAGATCTGGTGGGCTCTGATGAGAGGCATGGGAAGATCTGAACTACAGCTGGAAAGGCTCCCTCTTAGGATGGTGTGTGGAGAAGAAAATGTAGGAGCAGGGAGGAAGCCAGTTGAGGGGCCCCACTGCCTTGAGGAAGAATCAATGGGGCTTTGGCCAAAGGCTGGACAGGGAGGAGGGCAGCAGACAGTAAATATTTCCAAGGCAGGGCCAGCAGACTGCTAGTGGGGAGACATGGGACTTGAAGAAAGTAATGTGGAAGACTAGAAGAGGAAGAGGGGCAGATGGAGGGAAGAGGCCCTCCCCATGTCCTCATTCCCTGGCCGACAGGGCGTGGTTATGACCAAGGCTTGGCAAGTCACATTAGCTTACCTGGTAAAGTAGGGAGATTCAGACTGTAGGTGGCTGGGTATGAACAGTCCTCTAGGGGAAGGGAGGGGAGGTAGCTGGTGACAGCATCCTCTACAACTGGTGACAGGGTCCCTGCTATGGCCTCTGAGCCAGCCTCCTGGCTGGCAGCCATGCCCATAGCCTTGTCTTTAGAATGCCTGCTAACTCTGTGACTTGCCTGATGTTCCTGTGGTCAACTCCCCAGCTGACAGGTTGCTACTGCATCCTCCTACACTGAAGGTGATGCTGGGAATGGTGGTGGCAGACACAAAACAGGCAGTAGGAGAGGAGCCACAGAGAGTCTGGGAGTCAACAGGACACTTGGCTAACAAGCCCGAGAGTTCTACAGAGATTCCAACTGCACTATCACAGAGGGTAGACCCCAACACCCCAGGATCTCTGCCTGGGTCACTCCTCACCATGGGGCCTCCACCTGCCTGTCCTCACCCAGGGGCCCCCTACCCAGCCCATGCAGCCACCCACCTTCATACCATCATTCCTCTTCCCCTGCATTAAGTCCTAGCACTTCTCATACCAGGAACCACAGTGTTTGAATATGCTCCCCCATAAAATGAAAGGTCCCTAAAAGTGGAGACTTGGTCTGGCTAACTGCTATATCCCCAGCATCTACACACAGGAAGCACCAAATTATTAAATTATTTATTTAGGAGTTGTCCATGGAGAGATGACAACTGTGAGCAGAGAAAATGGAGATATCCATAAACAGGAGAGGCTCCAGTGCACACTAGGGGAAGGCCACAGTCTACTGGCACAGGAACCAAGTGGTCTGAATTGAAACAAGGGGTCAACAGGACTCACAACAATGGGGCCAAGGACAACAATAGCTTAAGAATTCACTGTGGGGTCAGGTGTGGTGGCACACACCTGTAATCCCAGCAGCTCAGGAGGCTGAAGCAGGAGGACAGCAAATTCAAGTCCAGCCTCAGCAATTTAAGAGGCCCCAAGCAACTTAGTGAGACACTGTCTCAAAATAAAAAGGGCTGGTGATGTAGCTCAGTGGTCCCCAGCAGCATCACCAAAAAAAAAAAAAAAAAAAAAAAAATTCACTGTGGGACTAGGGGTATGGCTCAGTGGTAGAGTGTGTGCCTAACATGCATGCAGCCTTGGATTCCATTCCCAACGCTACAAAAAATAAAAATCCACTGTAGAAGAGACAAAGTGACCACAGTTACAATACATGGCTGGGAAGGAAAAGGGGAATCAGCACCAAAGTTAAGGTGGGGATATAACCCAAGAAAAGGAGTCCACATCTTTCTTTGAGGTATAAAGGGAAAAGAAATAAGGTTTCTTCCAGCATCAATACTAACCTTATACTTAGCAGAAACACAGAGAATGCCAAGTCTGTACACATGAGTCAGCCATGGCAATGTCAGTCATATCCCAAGACCTGATACTTTCTAGAAAAGGGGGGAAAAAAAAACAAAAAAACAGCATGAAAAAAACATTCAAGAAGCTTACAGTCAACCTCAAATCAGGACATTGCAAAAGACAATTTGGAAATTCACCTGTTGTTATGGTTTAGATCTTAATGTCTCCCATAGGCCATGTGTTCTGTGAGGAGGGGTAGAACCCTTGAGAGGTGGGGCCTACTAGAAAATTAGGTCTTTGAGGGCATGCCCTTAAAGAAGACATTGGGACCCCAGTCCCCCCCCTCTTTGCTTCCCAGCTGCCATGAAGTGAGAGCAGGTATACCCACCATGATGTGCTGCTTTGCCACAGGCTCAAAACAAAAGGACCAAGTGATAATAGGCTAAAACCTCTGAAACTATAAGCCAACATAAATTTTTCCTTGTTGATTTTCTCAGGTATTTTGTCACAGCAACAGAAAGCTAGTATGCCTGAGGTTCTGAATAGTTTGGCAGCCCTCTCGTTTTGGGGGGATTTTTAAATTTTGTTTTGTTTTGATACTGGGGGGGATTGAAACCAGGGGAGATTTATTTATTTATTATTGACAGAGTCTCCATAAGTTGCTGAGGGTCTAAGTTGCTAAAACTTGCCTTGAACTTGTAATCCTCTTGCCTCAGCCTCCTAAATCACTCAGATGACAGGAAGGTGCCACTGTACCCAGCTTGCCCTCTCATAATTTGAGCAGTGGCTGACAGCAAATGACATTGAAGGTAAAATTTTGGCTAAAGTTTTACACCTCTAATGCAATATTTGAAAAAGGATCTCCTTAGCTGGGCACAGTGGCACACACCTATAATCCCAGCAACTCGGGAGATTAAAGCAGAAGAATCATAAATTCAAGGCTAGCCTGGAAAATGTATTGAGACCCTGTCTCAGAATAAAGAATAAAAAGGGTTGGGGTGTGGCTCAGTGGTAGAGTGCTTGTCTAGCATGTGTGAGGCACTGGGTTCAAATCTCAGCACCGCATATAAATAATAAATGAATAAAATAAAGGCCCATTAACAACTAAAAAAATTATATATATATTAAAAAAAAAGGGCTGGGGAGTGTAGATCAGAAGTATAGCACCCCTGAATTCAATCTTCATTTCTACTAAAAATAATATGAAGTGAAATAAAAGAAAAAGGACTTCTTTAAACATAAATATTTATGATCTTTTTTTAAAAAAAATTTTTGTAGTTACAGATGGACAGAATGCCTTTATTTTATTTGTTTATTTTTATGTGGTGCTGAGGATCGAACCCAGTGCCTGACGCATGCTAGGCAAGCGCTCTGCCACTGAGCTACAGCCCCAGGCCTATTATAAATAATTCTATTTTAAAATAGAAAATATCTTTAAAATATAAAGTCCAGCCACTGATTTTTAAGGTCACTTTGGCAACATACACATGATGCCAATTGAGCCCTTCAGACCACAAACCTAGACATTTCTCTCACCCCCTTCCCAAATGGGAAGAGGAAACCAGAGGCAATATTGCTAAGCTACTACTGCCCAGCATTCAGGATCAACATGGACTACTCTTATTATTAGCTTTGTTTCGATGAAAATACATTCCTTCCACAAGAGCTCTGAACATACTGATCATGAATGCCACAGCCCCAGACAGCCACTGACTGCAAGGCAGTAAGGAACACTACATGATACTTTGCTCCGGAGTCACAAAGATCTACTACTTGGGACTCTAAACCTTAGCAGTCAGATCACATCAAATGTTACTTCTCTAAGCACCTTTACAGAGCTCCCTGACACATGACACTACAGAAGAGCAAACACAGTGTCATGTACCACTATTGCTCAATTACTTAATGACAATGGTGACAATCTAACACCTCCAGCACCAGTCTGACTGTGGCCTTTCCATGCTGTAACAGAAAGTTCCTCCTGCCAGCCTGGAGGAATTTCTCACCCTAGAGCTGAGAAACAGGGGCCTCTAGGGGTTGACATCATATGTGGCATCTGAATTCTGAGCAGCAGTAAATGGGTTCTTTAGTCATTTTCCAATTCTATATCTACCAGATGTTTGCTGAACAAGTCTTCCTTTCTAACAAGCTTTCTAGAACTCAAGGCACAGGCAGAAATCCTCTGCCACCTGACAAGTCTCTTCAATCATCATACTTACAGCAAGTATTCCAATTCCTCAAAGAGGAATGTGCCTGCCCACAAGCCTACCCGCAATGGCTGAGCCACCAGCCTGGGCCTGAACAATGATGCCCATACCATCTTTCCATTACATGGTGTGCTCTGGCCCTGGTCTACTGCATCCTTACTTCTTGAGATCTTAACCTAGGACTGTGGAGGGTTAAAGAGAACTAAGTAGATAAATAAGGTATTATAATGGATCTTAACATACAACTAACTCCTAGAACTAGTCGGCCATAGGGGAGTTTCATTAGGTCTGAACTGGGATCCCAAAAGTATACAGTGAAAAGATCCACAGGGCAATCCTTCCAGCTCAGACTCACTCCCAGCCCTACTACTTCTATTGGCTTCACCTGGATTTCCCTCTACAGAGCTCCCTGACATATGACACTACAGAAGAGCAAACACAGTGTCATGTACCACTATTGCTCAATTACTTAATGACAATGGTGACAATCTAACACCTCCAGCACCAGTCTGACTGTGGCCTTTCCATGCTGTAACAGAAAGTTCCTCCTGCCAGCGTGGGCACAGACATCGTGCCAGGTATCCAAAGGGCTGGTGGATCAGTACCTTCTGCCCTCTGCCTCCCAAGGCTGCCAGTGAGCACCCTGAACCTCCATCCACAAGCCAATCCCTGAGCTAAGAATGAGTCTGTCAATACCCACCAAACTGGGGATAACAGAAACCTTCAATTCTCAAAGGAAGACGCTGAGCTGATCCAGAAGACTCCGCTCTGTAGGAATGCCAGCCTGGGAGAAAGGGCCCAAGCCAGAGGGAAACCCAACCTGAGTGGGGGGCTGTCAGAGCGCAGTCTCACGGTAACACTCAATGAGAATAAATGAAGGGTCCTGACTTGGTGGTGGTGGGGGATTAACCCAGGTCACCTTCCTGGGGAACATGCCCATCATCCCCCCATATCTCAGGGTCTCGGCGATGCCTTCCACTCAGTCCTAAACCCCCAATCATTCGCCCACCTCGGACCAACACAGAGTCAGCCAAATCCCTGCTCCAGCCCAGGGCCCGGCCGCTCCTCCGGAGCTGACCCTAGCCTAGCACCTCAACGCCTGAGCCCCGCCCCCGACTAACAGGCTCAGGTCGTGGTCGCTGAGGGGCCGCGTCCCACAAGAGCGCCACAAGGGCCACTTCCGACCCGACCCCACAGGAGGTCTGTCAGCCTCAGCCCCGCCCTCGAGGGAGTCGGCTGAGTCCGGCGCCACCAAACTCACCCGCAGACCCCTCAGCTCCGGCAGCCCCGGCGCCGAACCCCGGGGCGCGTGACTTGGCCGGGCCATACCAACCACCGGCCCTGCAGTGGGGGAGCTGGAACCGCCCAAGCGCTCCCTGCGCCCCAAGATCTGAGGAGCCCTGCACAACTAGCCACATCCAGCAATACAGCCAGGGTTCTGCAACTCCGAAGTTCGGCGGGGAACCACGCGCATCTGCCTGACACCCCTACTTGGCCACCTTTAGTCGCCTCCCCCCGCCCAGAGGTAAAGAATGGTTCAAACCACCCCACGGGTGGAGGAAACCATCCCAAACGCGGGGGGATGCTTAAGTTTAAAAAAGATTTTAAGAGAGTTTAGGGAAGATATAGCCAGCCTAAGACTCTTCTACTACACAGAAAAAATAAAGAAGAATCTCCTAAAAGCGGTACAACTTCACTTAAGTCAGCTGTTTTTTTAAAAATTTGCCGCTGGAACCCGTCTGAACTCTAAGGAGAGTGGAAGGTGCGGGCAGGTACCTGGGAGGAAGCGGTCACGTGACACAGGGAAGCCCGCAACGCGGGTGAGACCGGTTGCGTAATTCCAGACGGGCGAGGCGGGTGTGCGCATGTGCGTGGTTCACTCCTGTCCTCCACTCCCCCAAGTTTTCAAAAAACATCCAACAATTGTGGAGTAAAATCTTTTGAAGCCTGTGGGTCTGTTATTGTTTGGCTACTTGAAATTAATTTTAAAAGTCGTTACCGCAGGAGGTAACGTGGTCCTTACGGGTGAAGAGGCGGAGAGGTGAGGATCAGGCCCAGTGCAGCCGGCTGTGGCCGGGTCCTGGGATCGCGCTGTCACCTGGTGTGTGGTGGGAGCCCAGACGTCTGTCCTCTGCTGTGCGAGCTTCCAGGCCGGACTCGGTGCTGTGATTCCAGCAGGATGTCCAGGAAGGCTCGGGGGAAGCCTCAGCCGGTCTGAGTGGAATTGGATAGTTGAAGTCATTTTTTCTCTCCCTTTGAAATTCCATGTTATGTTGAAATAGACTGGGGACCTGAGAAATTGCTACTTGTGTTTTCAGTTTTACTAGCCTGGTAAAGATTAAGGAGAACAGGGTGGGGTTACAAAGTTAAGCACAGGCTTTGTGTGTTTAATTACTCTTACTAATCCAATGGTTCCTGATATTGAACAGCACATGATTTCCGAAGCAAAAAGTACACAAGGGTATACCACTTTGGAATTCTACGTTAACCTTTGTGGCCAATTAGAGATACTTGAATTTTACTGAGTCTACAAAATGCTTTGAGAGCTTTAGTGAAAAGATGCAAGAAATGTGTGCAGTCAGTCACCTTACATCTCTCTTTTTCTATTCTCTACAAGGAAACATCAGCCAGGAGCATTGGCCCACTTCTAATCCCAGGACTCGGGAGGCCAAGGTAGGAGGATGGCAAGTTCAAGTCCTGCCTGAGAAACTTTGTTAGGCCCTATCTCAAAGTAAATTTGAAAAAGGGCTGGGGTTGTAGTTTTGTGACGCAGTAACACACACACACACACACACAAATAAATAAATAGTAAAAAGTAAAACAACATTTAAGCGTTCGTCAAAATGAACTGGATTCATGCTGAAATGGCCACATTAACTGATTTCCGCACTAATATGCAGACATCTTACAAAATGTCCCACAAACTTCAAATTAGTGGTCATGTCTGGTTTTAGCAAGGAGATTAATATATAATATTAATATGTATGTAATATATAATACTAATATATATATATCTGTATGGGAGTGTGTGTGTGTGTGTGTGTATGTATGTGTATATATATATATATATATATATATATACATATATATATATATACATCCTATAACATATATATTTTTTTTCAAGATGGGTACTGGGGATTGAAGCAGGGGCACTTAACCACTGAGCCACATTCCAGCCCTTTATGGTTTTTGAGATAGAGTTTCTCCTTAGGGCCTTGCAAAATTTCTGAGGCTGGCTTTGAACTTGCAATTTAAAGGAAATTTGTCTTATCTATCCAAGCTTTTGTTGTTGTTTGAGAGGCCAGCTTCAGGCTGGCCTTGACCTCCTGAAACTCAGGGATCCTTCCTGCTTCAGCCTCCCTAGTGTTGGGATTACAGGCCTGCACCACTGCACCCAGCGTTTTTTGTTTTTAATTGAAATTGGGCCAGGTATGGTGGTGCATTCGTGTAATCCCAGCTACTTGGGAGGCTAAGGCAGAAGGATTCCCAAATTCAAGGTCAGCCTGAGCAATTTAGCAAGACCCTCTCTCAAAATTAAAAAAAAAAAAAAAAAAAAAGGAGGAGGGTGGATGTAGCTGTGTGATAGAACACCCTAGGTTTAATCCCCAGTATCACACACACAAATACATACAACTGGGCTAGGGATATAGCTCAGTTGGTAGAGTGCTTGCCTCACACAAGGCCCTGAGTTCAATCCCCTGCACCCCCCCCCAAAAAAAAAAAATACATACAACCTAAATTGAACAACCGGTTTATCTGGATCTGAAATTCCCCTTAAAGTATGTTCAGGAACTCCCTAGTGGCTGCCATTGGTGACTGTCTCTTGGAGACTTCTAATGATGTATGTAGTTGATTTCAGTTAACTCTAAAGGATTGTGATATTTAGGGTTGGGGATGTGGCTCAAGTGGTAGCGCGCATGCGTGAGACGCTGGGTTCAATCCCTAGCACCACACAAGAATAAAGATATTGTGTCCACCTAAGAAAACTAAAAAAAATAAATATTAAAAAAAAAAAAAAAGGATTGTGATATTTAAGGCCTTGCAAACCAGTTACTGCCCCACCATCGCGGAGCCAATGTTGTAGGGGCAGTGCTAGTTATTATTGTCTCAGCTTTAACCCCCATAATGTGATTGAGACCAGTCCTGTAATGCAGCTGGAAAGGGACAGGTACCTCTCTGCTTCTGTTGAGCAGTACCACCCAGTGAGGATGATTCCATTTGCAGCAGTTCCAGTTCAAGATATTCCCCCTTGCTTCTAGAATTAGCCTCAACACTTCCCTGAGGGATATGGGCCCTAGGAGGCAGGCTCCCTATCTCCCTGCACAGAAGTTGGCTCAGTTCCACCAGAACCCTCTTTCAGATTTTCAAATTATATTAATCCCAATCTCTTTGTTTCTCAAGCCCTAAGGAGTGGTTCCTGCTTCCCACAGTTAACTAAGTTAACTACATTGGTGCAATTCCTCCTCCAATACCTGGTTGATGGCTCTGGTAAACTTTTTCTTTTTTTCCTTTCCTTTTTTTGGTTGTAAGTAGACACAGTGCCTTTATTTTTATTTATTTATTTTTATGTGGTGCTGAGGATTGAACCCAGTGCCTCACCCACACTTGGCGAGTGCTCTACCACCGAGCCACAACCCTAGCCCCCAAACTTTTTCTATTAAACTGGTAAGTGGTTTCTCTCCTGATGGGAATTACTTTTGAAAAATCTTATGGGTCAAGGAGATATATGCCTCTTTGGTTTCTAAGAAGAGACTGTTTAGGGCTTTACACTTGCTTTTTCTGAAATATATGTTGCCTAGGCTCTCTGCCTGTGTCTTGGATTTGCACACCTATAATTCCAGCAATTTCCTTTTGCCTGCCCTAATTGGAAAATTAGCTAATCCCGTAGATGGTCATTCGGAACTCCTCCCATCAGAGTGAAGGGCAGCGCTGCTGTTAGGTTCTAGATAAAAGCAGGTGGCCTGCCCACCCAAGCACACATGCTAACCAGGTTCTGTAGCTGCCCCCCTGCCAGAAGTAAAGGTCTGCTTTGCCCACCTCCTTTCGAGCACAGGTTTGATTTCTTTGTTTTTTCCAACATGAGGTATTCTGATGATGCTGAAAAATGGTGAGTTTGCACTTAGGTCTGTTTCTGAGGCCCAAGGGTGTAACTTTGGATTCATTTGGATCTGTCAGGTCTTAAGTGTTTTTCAAATTTGCCTTTTCAAAATGATCTCAGATGCGAATACTCTTGATTCTTGAAAATAATTCATTGCTGTCAGAATCCAGTACTTGCATTACATTTAGATTTCTCTTTGGATTGGTGCCAAGTAAACCAATCCACTTTAAACTGATTAAAAGTTATAAAGTGACAGTGTTTGACTTTTAATACATTCATACAAAAATTGTGGTGCAGTGAACCTGAAGGTGTTTCAAGAAGAAAAGTAAGTCTGCCATCCTCAGGATGACTACCGAAGGGAATGCACATCAGAGGTCAGAAAGTACTTCCACAACATTGCAAATACACGATTCATGTTATCACTAAAATGCCTGTGAAATCCACCTTATTTTATTTATTTGGGGAGGGGTACTGGGGATTGAACCCAGGGGCGCTGTACCACTGAGATACATCCCCGTCCCTTTTTATTTTTTGAGGCAGTGCATCACAAAATTGCTTGGGGCCTAAGTTGTTGAGGCTGGTCTCATGATCCTCCTACCTCAGCTTCCGGAGTTGCTGGGATTACAGACATGCCTAATTCTAACTTTAAAATTTAGATAAAATCTTATGGATTCTCCCAGCATTGGGTGGGGGAGGGGGCAGGGATGCTGACAAAAACTTTTAGATTCAAATCTTCTCCAAATTCCTAAAACCCAACTATTTCTATGCACTATGTACCTTTTCGGGGGGGGGGGGGGGAATTGATACAGAAGACACATCAATGTTGAAGGAATTAAAACAAAAAGGTAAATTTAATGCAATAACAATAATCTGAGGATAAATAAATCCACAACAGACTCTAAAGTTTGAAAATTTTTTTCCGTTCTTTGCAGAGAGAATGGTTTTCTGAAAGCACATAGGGCTGAAGATGTCAAAACAAAACTGAATTTCTTAATGTCCAGGTGGAACAGGCTTGTACTCCCTGCTACCCTCTTAACTTCACTGTGGCGAAGGTGACTCACTGCCAGGTTTTCTTGTTGTACTTGGGATGGGTGTTAGTTTCAGGAGTAACTGGAGGGTTTGTTTCCTGAATCATCTTCTTGTGAGCCCATACTCTGTGAAAGGGACAGCAAAGCGGTTTGTTTATGCTTGGCTTTGTCACAGGGTTCCCCGTCCCCAAACCAGCATACCAGCTGCT